TGTCATCAAATCCTAATATTTGGGATCCTAGGGTTACTAATAATGCATGTCTTCTAGATAAAGCATCTGCAACAACATTAGTACTCCCCTTTTTGTGTTTGATGACATAGGGAAATTGCTCAAGGTATTCCACCCACTTTGCATGTCTTTTGTTTAGCTTTGCTTGCCCTTTAATGTACTTGAGAGATTCATGGTCAGTGTATATGATGAATTCTCTAGTTACCAAGTAATGCTCCCAAGTTTTTAAAGCTCTAATGAGGGCATACAACTCTTTGTCATAGGTAGGATAGTTCAAAGCAAAAACGCAACACAATGAAAGAGACATAAAAACCAGTCGAAGTATTCAAAGCTTAATATTTCATTTTAGCAGTGAAAACGCGTTAAGAACATTAGGATTATGAATTTTATTGATTTTATTATCGGGTTTTGGTTGTTGTTTATGGGTTGATATATTCACCATGTTTATATTCTATTATTTATTATTATTATTATAGTTTTATCGATAACTTATTTTATATGTGTTTGTTTTGTTTCACAATGAAATTATTAACTATGATCATATTTTATACGTGATGATATTGTAGAAAGTGGTGCTTAGATAAAATAGAGTCAAAAAATGACTAAAAACAAATTTTGAATTTTTATTGAAATTGATTTTTTTAAAATTTAAGACAATCTAACTAGAGTTATTTTGAATAATGTAATTGATAAGTTTTTTGAAACTCATACTTTCATTAAGTTATATATGTTTAAATATTAAAGTTTTGAAAAAAATATGTTTCCACATTGTGATAAAAAGTTGAAATTTCTAATTGTTTTATATAATCCCCGACATCTTAAAATTTGGAATATTACTGTTCTAAGCATCGTTTTTTCCATTAATTTATTTATTTAGTAAATATATTACATCTCTTTAAATCATCATTCTATACATGGTATAATGTGAAAGTTGTTGTAGCAATTCACCATAAACCGTCATAATATTATATTTTGTAGCGCAAGATGTACGGGTTCTAGAAACTGTCACTCTAATAAATAACGCAATTAAAAATGACAAAAATGTAAAAATAATTATCACTGGTTACGAGCAGTTAACCCAAAATTTAGAGAAGTGGAAGCATAACATTTAAGATCAAGATAACAACTTTAGCCATAGAATTGTCTTATGGATTTTTAATATTGTTTTTTGTTGGATACTTGAATATTATGGTATTTAATGTAGTTATTTTGTTACAGTGATCAATCAATGAAATAAAATGTTTGTTAAATTCTTTTGTACAATATCATAAATTTTCTTATATATTTTAATTTTTATTATTAAAAATAAATTTTATTAAATTATGAAATTATAAATATACCTAAATAATAATAAATAATAAAATATTCAAATTATGATAATGGATAGTAGTGATAGTTATAAATATCATAATATAATGTGAATTATGGTGTTTTTAAGTTGCTTCTAATTTTAGTATACTAAATTTCTATTTAAAAAATTATGACGGTTTTAACTGTCATAATTTACTCTAAAAAATTAGGACATTATACAATATAAATATAAATAATGATATTGTGATGGTGATTTTCTTAAAATCAACACATTAATAGGAATTACAATGATTTTCAAAATCGTCACAAGCATATTTTGTTAGTATATGTAGATGATATTATTGTGATTAATAATAATAAACATGAACAACAAAGATTGAATCAATGTCTAGTCAAAGAATTTGAAATTAAGAATTTGAGGAAATTAAAATATTTCCTATGAGTTGAAGCTGTTCACTACAAGAAAGAGATTTTAAACAAAAGTATATTATTGATTTGTTGCAAAAATAGGTAAAATGGCTTGTAAACCAGTGAGCACATCTATTGATACAAATGTAAACTTAGAAAATTAAGATGATGGTGTAGTGTTGATAAAGAAAATTATCAAAGGCTTGTGGAAGTCTTTTTTATTTATCACTAGACTTTATATTACTTTTGTTGTGAGTTTAGTAGGTCTATTTATGCATAAACCAAAAGAAGTCCATTTATAAGCAATGCTTATGATTGTTCAATATTTGAAACAAACACCTGGAAGGGGAATTTTGTTCAGAACAAACAAGAGTGTTAGTCTTGAAGCATACACTAATGTTGATTATGCAAGTTCTTGATAGAAAATTGACTATTGGATATTGTACTTGGAAACTTGGTAATTTGGAAGAGTAAAAAGAAAAGTATGATAGCCATGTCCAGCTAAAGAAGAATTTCGAGCAATGACTCAAGGGATATGAGAGTTATTGTGACTAAAAATTATACTAGAAAACTTAAAGATAAAATGAAACAGACCTGCAATATTATGATAACAAATATGTAATTACCATAGCTCATGATCCAGTACAACATGATAGAATTTAACATATTTAAGTGGATAAACATTTTATTGAACAAAAGTTTACGAGCAGCATGATTTGCACACCATATATCTCTTCTCAAGGATAATTTACATATATACTTACCAAAGGTCTAAAGAGTAATAACTTTGAAAGAATTATATCCAAACTGCGAATAGAAATAATTTATTTGCCAGCTTGAAAATGAGTCTTGAGATATTTTAGAAAATTTCTAACATTATTCTTATTTATTATAGTTGCACATGTATTTATAGCGTGTGACCTTATAGCTACAAGCTTTTCTACTGTTTCAAACCAAGAGGGAATGAATAATTGAAATCTGGAGTATAATTGAGAAGTCATGTAATTATAAGAATGTTAATTTCTAATTGTTGATTGTGTGTTAATTGAGAAGTTTTTTATTTTTATATTACAACATATTCACTCATATTTTTTATACCAATTATAACTAGAATTAGTAAAGAATTTTTTTTTCCTTTATTATAAAATTATCACTGCACTAACTTTTTATGCCCGTTATAGAACCTGTATAAAAATGTTTTATTATAAAATTGTTATGAAGATCAACTTTATATATCGATTATAGTGATAATTAAAATAAAAAATCTTTCAAATTTATAATATTATTACCATGTCGATCGTTATGCTGGATGGATTAGAACAAGTAATAAATCATTAATAGTGTAGATTTTGCATTAATGTACATTTTTCTATCGTAGGACTTTGTATTATAGAAATATATTAATGTTATGAAAAACATGAAAGACATACGTGTTATTTCAATTTAAAGTGGTTGAAAGTATTATTTATTATAACGTTCTGAATGGAATTTTTTTATAAAACAAAATTTCTATAAAAACAAAAAGATTATAACTTCTTTTCTTTGCGGTAGCATGCATATACACGAGAGTTGTGAAAAAATACTAGTATAATCTATAAAATCGACACCCTTGAATTTTCTTAACTAAAAGGAAATAAAAAGTTGTAAGTTAACCATTAACATCATACAGTTTCAAAAAGTTAACCCATAGGTCAAAGAAGCTGTGGCAGGTAGGAGTAAAACTTTTAGTTGGATTTTATTTGTTTTTGTACAGTACGGTCTTATGGGCATCATTAGGCCGATTATCCAGGGTCGACCATTAAGACCATCCATCCAGGTTAACCACTAAACCGATCACTCAGGTCGACTAATCACTAGATCGATCACATGGTTAGATTATAATTGATAATAATTCATTGGAACCCTAATGCAAATTAAGATGTGATTGAGCCGTCATTAGATCAGAGAAAAATAAAAATCCATCATAACTAGTATAAATAAAGGTCTCAGGTATGACTTTAGGGATTATGCGCATTATGTGCATCACTTATTGTGATAACAGATCGATTATATTACTGAATTGAGCGTCGGAATGTCTTTGACAGGTATCCGTCCACAAAGCTTCGACAGACAAAAAAGAAAACGAAAAACGTAACTTTGAGGATGGAGGACAACTAGAAAGTCGTTCCAATGGTAAGGAACTTCAACCATGAAATAGTCTATATTATTTGCTTTACGAGTGGTGCAGATTAAGAAAAAAAGGAACCTTCCTGAATAAAATGTTGTACCACTGCACTACAGATATTGGAGCAAGAGATTCTAGGAATATGTCTCACAAAAATAGGGATTTGTGCCTCATAAATTCCACACCTGTCCTACATAAAGAAAGAGCAAGGAGGGGGTTAAATAATTAGTTTGATATATGCAAGTAATAGAAAATGTAAAGAGATCTCTAGCATATAGTGTGAAGATGATGACTCAAAATCATATGTATAATCCAAGATCACTCAAATTGAAGCTACATTAGTCCAAAATGATGACCAACTCAGCCCTTTGATTTGATGAGGGGTGGGGTGGGTTAGAAAATAGGACATGGGAAGGGATAAGTCCTACACAAAAATAATTGTTAAATTTTGTCAATTCTTTTATAGTAGAAATAAACATTTGAATGTGTTAGTGACAGCTTAACAACCCCTTCCCCAGTCATTATCTCCCTTTCTATTTTTCTCCTTATTTACATGTTGTGGTGCCAAATTTCAAGCGTAACGTCAAACTTTGTTTTAAATATTTCATAGGAATATAATCACATTAATTTTTTGAGCAAACCAACAATTTAAAAGTTCGTAAAAAAGTTAATAAACATGGTAAAGCTGTTCTGGCTTTTCACCGAGAAAAGGAATGACTTACCCCTCTTTGCAAGATATGATTTCCACACGCATACGCCTTAAAGTTGTTGCTTTCAACTTTAATCTGCATAAATTTCAACAAAAATGATCATTAGGAATTGGATTATAACACGGAATTTTCAGGGATGGGTTTTGATTTGACCTCAAAGTATTGGTGAATACGGGGATCACGAGATTAAACTCGAATTATGTGCCAAAACATCTTAATTTTGAGGACACGTGGACAAATCATGAATAGGGAAATTGTGTTTCACAAGAAAATTATATTTATATTCCATAAAAATACATAACTTGAACCTTGGTGGAGCCCAAAGTATACATAAGCCACATGCTATTGAGTTCCCTTATTCCATAAGTTACTTAAAAGACTCACAAAGCAATCGAGAAGAGTTCACAAGAGAAACACTCTCCCTCACTCACTCAAGTTTGGTCTTAAGAAAACTATTCCAAAAGGTCTAATTTTTATATTTTATAGTTCCCATGCACCTATAACGTAAGAAATCCTTCACCTTCTTCTCCACTTCTAAATCTCTCTTCTCTTCTCCCAATCCATAATCTCATTCACACTCACTCAAAAACAACAAAACCACACAAACGTAACATCTTTGTAGTGAAACACATCATGCTGATCAAAGGGCATCAAATTAAGGTACCAATATTGTTTCTCGTCAATTTGGTCCTTGTTTTTTTCGTTTCTTCCGTCAACGCCGTTGAATCAAGGAAACTTGATGAGACCCCCGTGCCCGCCATAAACGGCACCGAACAAAAGTGCGGTTCATGCGGCACCGTCTACCCCTCCCCGCCTCCACCGGCCATTCCACCGCCGTCGCCACCACCACCCAAGAAAACACCCACACAGTATTGCCCTCCGCCACCCCCTTCCTCCTTCATATACATAACTGGGCCTCCGGGAAACTTGTATCCCGTCGACGAGGATTTCAGCGCCGCCGCCTGCCACCGCCGGAGCTTCGTCGCCGCCTCCTTGCCACTTTTTGTTGGCATGCTTTTTACGCTTGCATTTTGGTGATTCGCTTGTGAAGAAGGTAATAACCACGACATATAGATATATCATTCAGATAATTTTAAACACAACATCGGAAAATTTTACGGTTTATGATGTCGTTGTAGTTATGAATATCAAGATTTACATAAGGTACAGCGCAGAGAATTTTGTACTTGTACTTCGACATTAGTGCTTCACACTACGTTCTGGTCTTCTTTCTATGCCATCGATTTGTTCAATAATATCCATCTTTCTAGCAATTCTATCAAATTTTCATATCGCGTTTGTCTCGTACGATTTTCTATTTTACCCGTTTTTTTATCTTAGTAAGTTACATTTTTCAAGTCATATAATTAATAAATAGTAATGTAAAACTTTATATTATAAATAAATTGTAACTCGAGATGTGAGAAAATGGTGAATAGTTAAAGTTTGATGAAAGCAATAAAAATAGAAGTCGGTGCTGAAAAAAAGATTAATGTTGAATAGTTGAGAGGTAGACATAGCATTAATTATAATGAATGCAACAGATCATCCACCACCTCCACCAGCGCCACACATTCAAATTGCCGTCTAAATTATACACAAAAACTTCATTGTTGATGGGTCCACGTTCTTTGCTAATAATGATTCTTAGGTTTGGCGTAACCTATCTATATTCTATACACATGGTAAAGGATGGATCGTGGAAATTATAGAACCATTAACACCGATAATTTTATAATTTCCATTTTTCTTTTAAGTTTAATTAAAAAACTAGCTGAAAAAGGAAATGCTCCTGAACAAAATATGCAGAAACATTCACCAATGTTTTAGGTATACACTATGAAACTTATAATATAAAAAGGTTAATATAATTAACAAGAGATAAGTATTATAGGGGGCTAAACTGTTTAACTTAGACAAGCCACGTGTGAATGTGGAATCTGATCTTTATCATTTTGTAAGTGGACCAAAGAGAGCAGTGACATTAAAGTATAATCCGTTGGATCCTGATGTCAGAGTTCAATTCATGTTTATGAAATGAAAAGATCCATTTGTCAGTGGCTTGAAACATCAACTTCGGTTACACCAACCATACATAGAGTGGGGACCAATTAATGCTTTGATGTTTGACAAGTTTAGCCTAT